AATACGAAAAATAAGTGGACAATCAACTCCTTGCATTGGTCATAATATGACTGAAATTATTTATTTCTATTTTTTTATGGACAAACCTTTTACAGGCTCAGCATTAATCTTGCTCTAAGCTGTGATACGCTGCCAGTTTTTTTTTCTCATTGACTCTGACTGAATATATTGGATCATCAGGTATTGAAAATAAGTGTTGCAAAAGAGTTCTCCCTGAGGGGCTGAGGTTCTACACAGAACCATTGGCTTCCGAAAAACCCTTTTTTGAAGAAAATAATTTGCAGGAGCTCTTTGTAAGACCAAAGGTTTCATTACGAACCCTTTGAGTTCTTCTGGAATATGAAAGGGTTCTCGGTAGAACCCCCGAATGTGTTCTAGATGAAACCCTTGGAATATGCAAGAGTTCTCGGTGAAAACCCCTGGGTGGGTTCTAGATGACATCCTTGGAATATGAAAGGATTCTCAGTCGAACCACCCTGGGTGGGTTCTTGATGAAACCGTTGGAATTGTAAGGGTTCTTGTTAGCACCCTTAGAAGATTGAAATGTTCTGGATAGATCCTCTAGAGAGGGTTCAGGATTGAACCATTACACCATAGAAGGGTTCTCTGTAGAACTTCTCCTAGGAGGTTCTGGGTGGAACCTTTGATAGATGGTTCTAGGTGTAACCCTCAATGTAAGGCTCTGGGTAGAACGCTCTGAAAGGGTTCCATGTGAAACCTTTATGAAAAGTTCTACCGGCAACCAAAAAGGGTTTACCTGTGGAGACAAGCCGAAGAACCCTAGATGGTTCTTGTTAGCACCTTTTATTTCTAAGAGTGTGTGACGTGCTGCCTTCAAAAGTATTTTCCATTGAATTATACTCCAGGGTTTTGTTTCTTTTGTTTTCTCCAAATGACGCATGTCTGCTTATCATCTGTGAAACACATGCTGTTTAGTCCGGGGTGCAGCAGCTAACTTTTAAATAAAGAATAACAGCTAGAGGTCTGTGTATTCACTCTCCAGTCCTCGAGGAACTCATCTGTGTTTAGTGCCTCAATAACAATTATATTACTGTCACCATATTTGTATCCCATAGCAATTCAAACATGAATCAGGAGGATGTGAACCGCTTCCAATTTTCTTTCTGAAAGGCTGTGAATATTGGTTCTCGGGTCTCCCACTGCGCACAGAAACAATGTCAATACCGAGCAATTTGTTTTCTATTTGCAAGTCCACCTGCGTCTTTTCGGAGGTCACCTTAACCACAGTCTATTCATCTCATCCTTCGCTGACCTTTTATGAAATGCCTCTAAATTGACTTTGTCACCCGTTTTGAGGGGGAGTGTGTGGGGGAGCCACTTGTACTCCTTGAAGTCTATTTCCATTCTAACGGATTTTGAGAAGCAAGTATATGACAGTCGTGTCTAATGTATATTAAAGCGTTTTCACGGGCACAGAATGTCTATGCAAGCCCACAGCAGCCGCTGCATTCTCACCACTATTATTAAATGGGGTCAGTAGTAGAACAACACCGCCATTTAAGAGATGAAAATCTTTTCATCCTCAAGAGCCCTTTGAGGAGAAAGTATTTTTTTTCTGGATGGTGTTTCAAGAGGAAAGAGTTTCTTCAAACAAAAGCCACTTAATGTGGTGTGTTGTATTAACAGTCTGAAGTCGAGATGGAAAATCTGATTGAACTGAGATGTTGCTAACAAACATGAAAGTAGTGTTTTGAAAGATCTTCTGCATCTGTTCCTGTTAAAAATGGCAAAATCCTGAACCTAAACAATTTACACAAACTGAATGCTTCACATTGCAGTTTCTGTAGGAGTATTGTCTTTATACTTTCAAGACATGATAATTCAGATTTTTTGGAAGTGCGTTTGTGTGAGGTTCTCCTCCACAGTCAGGGTTCTACTACAGTAGATGAGTTCATAGAAACAGACAGGAGAACCAGCACGGAGCAAAGTAATGTTCTGCTGTGGACGTATTCTAGACTCCTGAAAGAATGTATATCAGTTTAATTGAACGCTATATTTAGAATGTTTCACCTCTTTGCCTTGCTGTCAGACAGACCTTTCTGACTGTTTGTGTTATTGTGTGACTTTGGTGTTTTAAAGGGTTTATTTTGGATAATAGAAGTTGAGGTAGTCATTGTGACGTCACCCATTGGTTTGTGGACTTCAGTTTTGAAGCCTCGAGTTCAGCATTTTGACCGTCGCCATCTTGTTTTTCTGGAACCAGAAGAGACACTAGAGGGTGGAGCTAAGTACAACCGAACGATGAATAAGATATTATCAGACGACTAAAAGGTTACAATTAACTTTCATGAACTGAAAAGACAATTTGAAAGGGTTTGAGTTGTAGGACAAAAACACAGACAACTCACAGACCGTAGTAGAGACCTGTCAATCACAATGAAACCCCGCCCTAAAGCATCCCCTGCTTTATGGTCTGTTTGACTCTAAATGGACCATCATTTACTAAATGAACATCATGCTGTATTGAAGAAGACTTGAAACTAGAGATTGAGACCATAAACTCATATTTACAATGTTTACTGAGGTAATACATCAAGAGAGAAGTAGAGTCATTTTCTCATAGACTTCTATACAACCAGAGGAGTCGCCCCCTGGTGGACATCAGAGAGAATGCATGGTTTAAGCACTGCCTTCCTTTTTCAGAAAGATTGCCCCTGATTCAGATTCACCAAAGTCACACAATAACACAAACAAACTAACCAATCCAGGCAGCGGTAGACCAGCAACTCCCGTGTTCTTAGATGTAGAATTTCTGTTTTTGTCAATGGAGTCTTGAGACTTTGAAGAGAGCATTACTATGGATAAGTCTCATACGACTTAAACAAATCAGAATCATCCCTTTTTAAAGTTTGTTGACAGGAAGAAGGCAAAATAACAGCCATCATCATCCAGTCGGTATAACTTTTCTCTCAACACTGTGACTTGGTATGTGTCTCTTATGGTTCAACTATCTCCAGGGGTCTGTGTCTTCTCTCTCAAGTAAAACGTCCCACATAATTCCCAAAGGGCAGAGCAATACTGTTGTTTCCCGACAGTCTTAAATCCCTAAGGGTGCTTTATGGACATATTTTGTTTCTCTTCCTCTGTGCAGGAAATATGTGACAAAGGTCAAAGCCCTGCACTTCTGTCACTTATCTCGTGCTTGTTATCAGTTCATTAAAGCTCGACAGCCTTCTTCACAACAACAACTTCTTATTGTCGCTGCAGTGTCATGAGCCTTACCGGGGAACTTTGTTTTATTTTTCCAAGCAACAGTATTTCTTTTCTTTTCTGTGTTTAGTAGTAATTGAACAGCTGTGTGTCGCACACAAACAACAGCTATCATTTCTCACACAGCACAACAAGATTCCTGTCCACCCACTCATGCCTGGACCAGCCCATCTCCGTGTTATCTTATCTCGTCTTATCACAGGAACATTAAAAAGAATTACAAACCTTTCACCTCTCACAAAACACGTCAAGACAGCAGTTCTACATTTTGGGGAAATAAGCTAATCTCAGTACGCATACAGTGATATCAACACTGGAATGGATCATTTCATTTGATCCACCTTTTTTTCTTATTTATTTGATTCTCATCGTGTGAATGGAAGTTGGGTAAAATGCCACCACCACCGTATTTAATCAGACACCACATGTGCATCTCGGCACACTGAACTGCCAACTCCATCCATTACACTACGCTTGGCTTCCCCACACAGTGACTGGCAGCAAGGAAAACCCAAGGAAATAGTCATTTATTCTAGATCTTTGGTACAAAAAGGATCAAATGCAGGTATTGTTTGACTGGAGGAATTTTGATACTACTTGGTACTGGGTTATTTGGGTCGATACATTAAAGGTGTTGAGTACCGACACCCAGCCTTACTAATCTGACTGCCGGACTGTTCATGCAGTCCATATTTTGTTCGTTGTTATACCGACTGTTGACGTTAGCTTACTTTATAGCTAGAAGCGGACACAACTATGAGTTTATGTTCAGCTCAACCTCTGACTGAACTCAGTAAAGAACTCTTGTTCCTGCTGTTATTTCCCTCCAGTCTCTCTGCCTTTTCTTCGTGTCCATATGTTTAAAAACTCATGATGATCAAGTTTAACCATTTTTATCTCGCACTTAGCATCTTCGCCTCTGTCCGCCATGGATTATGGGGTCCATAAAGCAAGGGCTCTGGCGTTTCCTTTAGTCCCGCCTCCCAGCCCTCCGTCCAGCCTTGTTCTCATTCACATGAAATAACTCTGGATTCGGCTATTAGTGCATTTTACAACTTTTAGGAACTAATGATTTAAATAAGGGAAGTTAACGTACCTCAAACGAAGTGATCCGCTGAGTTACAGACATCTCTTTACAAATGTAGGTCTAAGAGAAAAAGTATTTTGAGGGCCGATGGCATCATGTGACGGAGCTGGAAATTGTAATTTCACCGTTTTGGGACTACGTCAAATTTGCTTTGAATCTCGGCACTCTTCCTGTGGATTTGCTGTCTGCACCACACCGGGATCATTTGTATCTAATCTCCTCTTTGCATTCATTTTCCTCTCCTCACCTGATTGAACACAACTTTAGAGCACCTTCTACAGTTGTAGATAATGAGATCGTTGACTTTCGTCTACACATGGGACACGGACAGCAGTCTCCTGGGTGAAAGTCCTGTTTGTTTGTTTTTAACCACACAGTAGAGCGTCATAGTTTGAAGCTGCCGTATTAGACAACTTGGGAGTCAGAGCGTGCTGAACAGAGCCAAGCTAGCCCTGTTTCTAGCCCTGTTTATGCTAAGCTAAGCTAACCAGCTGCTGGTAGTGGCTACATATTTAAAGTACCGCGAGTTAGACGAGAAGATTGATACCACATTCCATAATGTGGTATCAATCGATGTGGTATCAATCTTCTCGTCTAACTCGCGGCAACAAATTGTAAAAGCGTATTGCCCCAACATGTCAAAAGATTTCCTTCTGCACTACAAGATTTGACCAAGAACACGTAGAGTTAGAAAGCCTACAGGCAGTCTTCGTTTTATTCTTTCTTTGGCTACTTACACCAACACATTCATAGCCAAGATACAAAGTAGTCAAGTAGTTCGGGTGGTAAAAACCAGTCAAGTCTTTAAATAAATACTGAACTTACAGAACACAACCATCTAGCTTGGCATAGATATCAATGTACAAAAGGTTCAATGCCGCTAGTGCTGTACATTTTAAACATCAACAAGAACACCTTTTTTTAAATTAAGTGCAGATTCACTGTTGGCAGATAACAGCTGATCCCCCCCCCCCTGCTGCCTTTATAGCCCACTTTTCAGATAAAATGAACATCACTGTGATAAAATAAAAAGTTCACACAGTAAACAAATACAGGTTATTCTCTTATTCTCCACTTCTGTGGATTCACCATTTGCCATCCTATTGCTGCATGATGAAAAGATTGAACTTGCGAGAGACCCCCCTCTGGTTTACATTAACAGAGACACATTTGATAGTGAAAAGGTTTCATGTGCAGAGAGATTTTGAAACCGTATAAAAACCATGAAAAGAGCCTAAAATCCTCAATTTGATCTGAATCGGAGTTGAAAGGTTTTCTCGTCACAGCGATGTTGGCTGACGCTGCTGTCTCCCTCCACTGTGCTTTCAAGAAGATAGATCATAATTTAACAGCTTAGTGGTGCAGTAGTTATTACTCGTATAATGTCTTAGACTTAATGATAATCGTCACCTTCCATCTGACTGCATACGTCATCATTTTGCAGCATTAACGACTCAAAGAAGCTGAAACCACATCCCTCCTTCATGTCCTTCTTACAGAGATTATCAGAGAAATTGCAGTTATTTTTCCCCATAAGTTTCATGACTAAAGCCCCATTCACACGGTACTACTATAACCCGGGGACCTCTAGTCATTTGAAATAATTGCGGAGGTCGTCTGTGATCTCTCGTGCGGTTCTAACATGTCCGTAATTTGTCAAGGAAAAGTTCCACCGCAAATTACCTGCCATGTTTCTAAACATCACATGAGGTCTCCTGGTAACAGGAGTCATGTGTGAATAGGGCTTATATTAAAATGTATTGCTGTCAGATATACCGTGAACATCCTCACTTCACTTCAAACGTCTTCAAACGTCTCTCTTATTTTTGAAAACCGGATTTTTCGATGGAAGAACAGAATATATGGATTTTTTGTTTTGAACAGTGTTTGACCGACGACAGTTACTGCATTCCTAGAGCATGGAAGTGCAATTGAGTTCATCTAACAGGACTGAGCCTCGATGTGAGGCTGGACTGATTGTCTTTTCGGACACAGTATTTTTGAGAAAGCCCTTCGGAAGCTGCTGTGGCACAGCGGGTAAAGGAACGGGTTGATGGCGGAGTTCAGCCACAGAAGCCAGAATGTGATCTCGTACCAGTAGTTCGCCACGCATTCGCCGCTACAGGCGGCGCGAATGATCATCAAAAGAGTGTAAGGAGCCCAGCAAATCCCAAAAATGCAAACAATAACGGCCAAAGACTTGGCAATCTTTTTGTCTCGAGAGAGACGAGACACCTGTGTCCTTCGGCCAGGCGCCATGCAGGAGGCCGTGTGCTGACACAGCCTGGGGTTTTCCCTGTTTGGAGAGAACTTCTCCCTCTGCATGAATATCTGACTGTTGTTGGCGCCAACGCAGGAGGACGGGGACAGGACGTCGTCGATGTCCTCGATAACCGCGCAGATAGCGGTGGGCTCGCTGGACGACACCTTACGAGTCTTCACAAAAAACACGGACCAGGCTGCTCCGTCTCTGAGCTTCTTGCGGACCCGCTGCGTCTTGACGTCATTCTCTGCGCAGGCGCCCATGTTCTTGGTCCTGTGGTGGATGTTCAGGTAGATGCTGAGGTTGAGGAATGCCACGGACACAAACGGGGTGAAGAACTCAAAGGTGGACGCGCTGAGCAGGAAGTACCAGGTGAAGTAGAACTCGGCATAGCACTCGTGAGCCGGGACGACGCTGTCGCCGACTATCGCCTCCCAGAAGATGATGGCGGGGCCGTAGAGGAGGAAGGCCAGCGCCCACACCACCACCATCTTGAACACAGCCTGGCGGGTCATGTTTCGTTGTGCTCTGTATTTAACCTGCATGGAAAGAGAGGCACATGTGTGACTCACAGCCATAACCTCTGCTGCACAACAACACTTTGTGTTACATTTCAGCTGTTATATTAAAGACATTTGCACACATGGGGCATTTCTATTCTTGAGATTAAATTCGACCTAAATAGTATATTTATTTTTTGAATTGTTGCTTTTGTCATGAATACTTTGACACAGAACGTGAACATTACGTGGTAAGAGTATTTTCTTCTTCTTCTTCTTCTTCTTCATAACACAAATAAACCATTGCCAATAATGTACATTACATCGTACAACACCACAGACCAGAAAGACTGTATATAAGAAGTGGACGTAGTCGTGGTGATGTCACCCATTGGTTTGTCGACTGCGGTTTTGAAGCCTTGAGTTCGGCATTTTGGCTGCCGCCATCTTGGATTTGCAACCATTTTGCAACCAGTAAGCGAAAGTGACCATATCTGGACTGAGGAGGAGTGACGTAGAGACGCCGTATACGACTCTGGTAGAGACCTGTCAATCACTGTGTAGCCCCGCCCTAAAGCATCCCCTGCTTTATGGCCTGTGTGACTCTAAATGGACCATAATGTACTAAATGAACATCATGCTGTATTGAAGAAGACTTGAAACTAGAGATTGAGACCATAAACTCATGTTTACAATGTTTACTGAGGTAATAAATCAAGAGAGAAGTAGAGTCATTTTCTCATAGACTTCTATACAACCAGAGGAGTCGCCCCCTGGTGGACACTAGAGAGAATGCAGCTTTAAGACACTTCATCATTGACTTCACATGCTTTATTAGACCAGATCCACTCCTTCTGTTCTTACCTTTCACAATAAAAGCCCTTGATATATACACTGTCACTGTTTACCAAAGGGAACTCAAATTGACTTGGAGCATTTTGCTAAAAGTAAAACGAAGAAAAAATAAATTTCAGAGTAGCTCGAATACAACAGTGTACCTGAAACCTTTTATTTAAAAAAGTGCTGCAGTTGAGGCAAAATCTGCATCACTGCCGGTATGAATAGTTTTGATGCAAAATATTCACAGATGAGTATTTTGCATTTTGATTTTTTTATCGCGGCCTTAACAAATACAAATGGAGCCCAGTTTGTATAACGAGATGCTGTAAATTAAAACCACTTGTGAGGCTCTTATTCTGCGGTGTCTCACTGAAGCCAAGGGGGGGGGGCTGTGAGCCACATTCACGGATGCGACACAAGCGTGTGAAAGAGACATCTGGTATCCCTCGCTCCGCTCCTCCCTCGCCCGTCACTCATTCTCTTCACAATCGCCTCATTTTCACTTCACCTCTCAGTCTAAACTCTATCATTAAGCGGGGCTCTTCCATTAACCGTTCTCACTCTTTTTTGTTCATGGTGTTGTTGTTTTTAATCTTCTCTTTGCCTCGAAACATCAGTATCTCTCTGCACCAGCTGTGTATGTCACCGACAATCTCATTTAAACAACAAAAATCCACTTCTCTGAGTCAATGAACAATGAAATAAAGCAACTTCATGACATCATGTCGGTATTGAATGCTCATTATAAAAGCACAAGAGAAAAATCCAGCTTAATAGATGAATAAATCATATTTTCTACGAAGCTGCTGAGATCAAAAGTCTCTAACAGCAGCCGCAAGCAAAGAGACGCTATCACTAAACTCTGCTCAGTGAGCAGATAAATACATTAATACGTTACACTGCAAACGTGGGGTCTGACAAACGTCAATCACAGCTAAAACAGGCAGCGAGATACAAAATGATCCGCATGGAATTATTACAGCTTTATGTCAATAAGACACAAAGGAACATGTTGTCTGGGAGATTAATTCTTGGGAAGAAATTTGAAGATTTTATCAGGTTTTATCAGGTTTTTACGCAGATAAAGCCAACGGGAGCAAGAAATATATGTTAGTGTTTGTTCTGGTTGAAACTCCCTTAAAGGTGCACTCCAGATGTTTCTCAGCTGTAGTTGGTGGACTCACAAGAGACAGATTGTGACAAGCGGGAATTCGCAATAGCTGCGACCGCGTACGCACACGCATCCATACACACACAACCTCGCTCAACACTCGACCTCCGTGCCAAGTTTCAGCCTCCTTTGGCGAAAAAGGTGGCGACATTTTTTATGGACCGGACAACCGACCGAAATGAGCTATAGAGCTGCTGGTCGCATTCAAAAAACAAGAAGAATGGACAAAATTGAAGCAGCGTAACTTTTGTTCTCAGCCGATAGTAGAATGCGCCCATTTGTGATCGGATCTCATTTCCTGGCTCGATGTGCAAATAAACACGTGCGTCATTTGAGACAAAATGCGTTTTTGTTTTTAACTTGCGTGAAGCAGCGATGAGCTTCCCGAGCCTCGTCCGCCAGAAATTTAAAAAAGATGACTTCCTTTGATTCCTTGCCGTGTTCAGGCAAATCGAATCGCCCGACATGTTTGAATATCTTTTATTGGCTTTTCACAATGTTCAGACGTCGTGGACAAAGCCAGCTTACGTGAGAACCAACTGGATGAAAAGGAGGAACAAAAGGGGGGTCGCAGCTTTGATGATGTGTTTCTCTGTTGCATCCTTGCCAGGGAACACATCAGGACGCATTAGCGTTTACAATAGAAAGCTATCTGGTCCAGCTCGTCCCATTCCGCCTCGACAAGTGCTTTGAGTGATCACAATGTGGCGGTCGTTTAGGGCTGTCCACTTGTGATCCGACCGCCCAATGCTCAAGGTCTTGAGGCCTTTTACACACCAGGGGCCTTTTTATTTTTCTTTGTGCAATTCATTTGCAGGTAAATACATTTTTTTTTCCGGCTGTTGTTTTTTTCATGAGTACTTTCAAACAGCGCGGCAAAAAAGCGAGCTTTAGCACCTCGAATAAAAGCATCAACCAATCACGTTGCGGAACGAGTTGAGCTGCACCAATATTTATGAAACGATACGAAGGATTTATTACTTCTTGCAGCCAGAACTGATCCACTCCTTCCATTATTGCCTTTCACAATACAAATGTACCAGGCGAGTATTTATCGCATGTTCGTGCTGCTTATTCATTGTGCACCCTGGTGCGTGTGTGTGTGTGTGTGTGTGTGTAAGGTCTTTAGTCTCAAATGCGAGTCAAGCTCCAAAAACATTGGATCCTACTTTTTCCACAATGCGACTCATTAGCATTTTTCATTTGACCCTCACTGCTGCCTCTTTTCATAAAAAAATCTTTTTATTAAAAAGTCTCAAACCCCAGCCTGAGACGGCCCTGATGATGATGACACTATGTCATTATTTTTTTTCAACCGTTGAAAACTTCCTCCAGATCAACATTCTAAACGCGTTTTCACTGACGGACTTGAGCAGTGTTTCCTGTGGCGCTTGTGAAATCGAGTGCCCTTTTTTTTAACTGCATTAAATTGGGCCTCAAGGACGACTGAGCGGACTCCTAACGTCTGCATCCAAAACACTCCAATTTAACCAGGCGGCTCCGGCTCTGTGTTCAAATGGTTTGGAAGAAATCAAGCCGTGAATGTCAATGACTTCTCACCGCAGAGCAAACTGCACTGGAAGGTGACACGTTCTTTTTTTACAATTGACTGTGGTGGTATGTCTACGTGTGTGTGTGTGTGTGTGTGTGTGTGTGTGTTAATGAGCGCCTCTGACACTTGTACTTACTGCTCTTGTGACTGACAGGAAGCGGTCATAACTAATGAGGACGATGTTGAAGACTGAGGCGGTGCAGAGCAGGTAGTCCATAATCAGCCACACCTTGCAGAGCCCTTTACCCAGCATCCAGCGGCCTGTCAGGTTGTACGGGATGTACACCGGGATGCAGAAGGCACCTGGAACAACCACACACAGACACACAAACACCGCATAATGAGTCAACCACCCTCTCCCAGCTAATACTATATTAACGTTTACACCTCTCCAGACCACCTTGATGTGACTAGAAATTGACTGGCTGCATGCATGTTACCATGGCAAACCCCTGCAGAGAAATTTTAGAAACAAAGGGCATCATTTCTCTTCGGCTGCAGATAAGAGCAGCACAAAAAAGATTGGTGTGACTGTAGAATAATATAGAAGGATGCTACAAATAAGCAATATTCAAATGGTAATGTAAAAAAAGGATGGCAAGGTCACCAATGAATAGTGACTCACTGTAGTAACACTGTGGGGACATTGCAATGTGTTTGTTCATTCATAGAGAGGGACTTGTAAATTGGAGGAGAGACAAACAAGAAGAAGAGGAGGCACCAAACTCACCCACGAGGAAATCAGATATGGCAAGGTTCAGAAAGAAGTAGTTGTTTTGATTCCTCAGGGTTTTATCCACAATAAAAGCCATGATGACCAGTGCGTTTCCGGCCACCACAACGACAACCAGAGTCACCATGAGGACCGATGAGATCACCGCCAGGTAGCCCGGGAGGACAGTCCCAGCCTCGGATACAGCGGGAGTCAAGTTGCCGCTGGAGTTGGACTCCAGGATGTGCGCGCCCATAGTTACCAGAGAGCCAAAACCATTGCAGACCTTTTTTCATTTCACGCACGGAGACGACGAACAAGTCAGATTACGCGCAAAAACGTTCCGCTCCACTCTGCCCTGGAGTCAAGCATGACAGGAGACCTGAGGTTAAATGGAAATACTTCCCCCAAATCTTCCATTCCCCCCCTCCTCAGAAATCTTCTGTTATTTGAAGAGACACAAGTTGAAATGAAAGCTTTTTTTTTTTTTTTTAATAAATATATAGATATTGTAGGTCCTCTAGGTGCGCTCTCTCTTCTCTCCGGGCAGCCGGGTTATTACTCCATTAACAGTGCTGGTTGGCTCCTGGATGTGCGGGCACAGCGGAGCGCACAGTTGCTTTTGTCACCAATGTCAAGACTGTCAGACTAGAAAATAACTACTATATCCGGTCATATTTACAAAATAAAGGTCTCACAGCGACCTTGTTTTATTTGAAGAGGGAAGGCTTTCTAACTTTTTAAGATATGCATTTGGAAGAAATTTGAATGCGTTGAATTCATGTTTTCTCTAAACATTACCTGAAAGAAAATTGTATAGAAATTCAACATGTAGCCGAAATAAAAAAAGACAATTGGAATGACCACAAGTCCTTGCAAGTGCGCCTTAAATCACAATAATGTGTCAGTTGTCCACCAGATGAAAAAAACACCCCAAACCATGTAGGATAATTTGAAATTCCCTGCATAGCTATGGGTGTTGTCAGTAAAGACAAAGAGGTGTAAAATGAGTTCGCTTTTATTTTGTAGGCTAGACCACATCCTGTTTTTGCTCTGGGTGATTTCTGCGCACTTGACGTTGCGCTTCTTTGTCCGCGCAGCAGCTGATCAAAGGCTGAAGAAGTCTGCAATCAGTAGCTGAAGTGGTCCAGACGCCCGAAGCGGACTGAGGAGAACCGATGCGAGCTGCGGCCTGCAGGAGGTCTGCAAGGAGCCACTCCTCATCAGCTGACTGATATTTACACCAGACCATCAAGTTCAGGGACTCAGGAGTCAATGTCCATTTGGCAAAGAATCACCCTCTTCTTCCTTTGTTGTCTCCTCCACGGTTTTACATCACTGTTCATCAACACATATCCGAACACCCACGCTTCTGTCTGAAACTTTTACAGCTCTTGTATTTTCACAATTTTCACACATCAATGTAGACATTCAGATTCATTTTAGAAAAAGAAGCTACTCTAATAATCACAGTTTAGTCAGATCCTTCAAATTCAGTGTCCTTAATGTTTTAATTAAGACAAAACAAATCAAGAGGGCTTTTGTTTGGAGCCCCAACATGTTCAATGTTTATAAAATAATAAAATACATTATGAAATATAGTAAATAATTCATTCGAGACTGGCTGACAGGTGAGAGGCACGTTGACACCATCACTGCTATGAAAAATGACATTAGTCATGAAAACAGAATAAACCTTTAATATAATGTATTATTATTATCAATCTATTTTTTCAATGTTATATTTATTATATTATTTGATATTTACACATGTACTTTTTTTAAATAAATAAATCTATACTGAGCATCGGTGATAGTGAGAGCAGCCAGTGAAGAGCTCAACCCACCACAGCCACAACCGGTTCACTCTGCTGCCGTCTGGAAAGAGAAACTAAGGTATCTGCTGCCAAACCACCGACTTCCAAACAGCTTCTTTCCTCTGGCTGTGAGACGCCTAAA